TCAATTCTCCCTCAATTTCTCTCTAATCATATATATATATATATATATATATATATATATATATATATATATATATATATATGTTTGTGTGTGTGTCAGTGTTTATCTTCCTATGTATATCAATATGTAAACGGGTTTTGGTGGGGAAATAATGGTGTTTGTTCTATTTCACCTGTCACGTTATTTTGTCCGCTGGTCAGTTTAAACAAATCATTGATTGATATCAGCCTTGCCTTCTGACTATTTGCAACCAGTCATAGACTCCATGTACCGTAAAAACAATGGCTTATTTCATCGAATGGCTTATTCCGGTAGCGGATAAAGCATTATCTGATTTTGCCTAAATTGCCCACTACTCTTTCTATAAATAAATAAATAGATACAAAACTATATATATATATATATATATATATATATATATATATATATATATATATATATATATATTATTGCAAACAAACAAACAAAAATTACCTCAACATAGCGCGTACAGAACAGCTAGAAATAGTCTATCCTCTAGGTTGAGTCAATTTTTGACTTTTCGCTATAAAAATACATATGCTCTGTTAAAATAAAATAAAACATCAAGCTCTCTGTGGATCAGTTTTAATAACTAATATTACTAGGATACGCCCGGATTATATAAGAACAGATCGATTACCTTTACTTATATATATATATATATATATATATATATATATATATATATATATATATATATATATAAGGGAACATTGAAATCAAAATTCAGTGGCGATAGGCTGTTTCATGCTAGACGCAATGGTCAGGTCATATATATATATATATATGACATCTTCTCTCTTAACTTCCTTCCCTCTTTTTCTCTCTATGGTTTTTCCTTCTCTACCCCTTCGATATCAATATATAACTTCCGTTAAGTTTACCGTTTAAATGTGTCAATATCTGCTAACTCACTCATGTCTTCTCTCTCTCCCCCCTCACTTCCTCACTTCGTTAATTTACATATGTTTAATACGGCCCGTCAAAAATGTGTAAATTTTCTTTTCTCTTTTGTTTGGAAGTAAAGTCCGATGATCCTTTTTAAAAGGGCTGTGGTGAAATAATTTATTACATGGAACCTTAAAGTGGTCTGTTTTTATTTAAATTATATATATATATATATATATATATATATATATATATATATATATATATATATATATATCGAGAGAGAGAGCGGCAACAATCCATCTTTTATACATGTATCGTTAAACACAACAGACAAGGTACTGCGATTAACCTTTTTATTTAATTTTTCTTGTCTTCGTACAAGTGTTTTCTTTTCTGGACGCAAAGTGTGTAAAAAATGTCTGCATACCCGCGCGCTTTCGGATATACTTTCAGCCATTATCAAGCATGATTTTATTTTTACTTTTAAACGAATGTATGGGTTATGTTATGTATGTATCTAGTGTTATAGGAATATTTTATTTCCCAAACACTGTCAGCACATTTTGGCCTTGTTCATAGTAAATATTACTGAGTGATGACTTTTTTTTATTATTTGTTTTTTTTCTTTTTTTTGACATGAGGGATGAGGTTATTATGCTTATGTTTTCTACTAGCATGATTCGAATGGAGTCTGGTAGGTTTGTGTGTGTGTGTGTTTAAATGGGTTCTAATGGAGCTCTGGTCAGATAGGTGTAACGTAAGTCGTCTGGATAGGCATGTAGTTGTGTGACCGATGTAATTATTTGTGAGTTTGGTTTAATCAGGAAGGCAGTTCATTAAGGGACATTGGAACATTGGAACTATGTAAATATATACTAAAAAAACAATTATGTTTTACCTGAAACCTTTCAGTGGAAAAAAAAATCAGTAACAAGGAAAGAAAAAAAACGTATGAAAGACCTAAAATCTAAAAAACTAGCAAGTTAGAAAAGTAATGTGCTCACAGCCAGATTACATTGACAGTGTTCTATTATTGCACCTCAAAATTTAATATTGAAGTCTTTTCTTCAGGGCACAGCCTACGCATATCCCTAGTAATTTTACACACATAGCTTTTTTTAAGAACACAAGTAAATTTGGGGGATGGTACCCACTTCCCTTTTAATATTCCAGTAATTATCGAAGGTATGCTAGGTTATGACCTTTCGTCGTTGACTATATATATATATATATATATATATATATATATATATATATATAAAGTGACGAAGAACTTGGTAAACCGAATGGGTAATTCCAAGGAGGATGAAATCTTGAGAGCTCAATGTGAATACAGAGCTAATATTTAATGAAAAAACAGACCACTTTAAAAAATCAGTAACAAGGAAAGAAAAAAAACGTATGAAAGACCTAAAATCTAAAAAATAGCAAGTTAGAAAAGTAATGTGCTCACAGCCAGATTACATTGACAGTGTTCTATTATTGCACCTCAAAATTTAATATTGAAGTCTTTTCTTCAGGGCACAGCCTACGCATATCCCTAGTAATTTTTTACACACATAGCTTTTTTTTAAGAACACAAGTAAATTTGGGGATGGTACCCACTTCCCTTTTAATATTCCAGTAATTATCGAAGGTATGCTAGGTTATGACCTTTCGTCGTTGACTATATATATATATATATATATATATATATATATATATATATATATATATATGATAAAGTGACGAAGAACTTGGTAAACCGAATGGGTAATTCCAAGGAGGATGAAATCTTGAGAGCTCAATGTGAATACAGAGCTAATATTTAATGAAAAAACAGACCACTTTAAGGTACCATTACAATAATTTATTTCACCAAAATCCTTTTTAAGGGACTCCGGATCATCAGGTAACACTTCCAAAAACGAAATGAATTCCTTCAGACATGGAAATTATTTTGAGGATGACTGAATGTACATTTGAAAAGTACTTGCGTATTAAAAAAAGGACTTATACTCCTTATAATCATAAAAACAAGGATCATAACATTCACCGAGTGATTTATAGGTTAATGCAACTTTAGGATTTTGTTTGCGAAAGGATTTCGCCATTTTATATCATTAACATTTACCATTTACTAATCTAATTTTGTATGAAAGATTCATTGCAATATAAATTGGACTGCACCACATATCTATATATCTATCTATCTATCTATATATATATATATATATATATATGTGTGTGTGTGTGTGTGTGTGTGTGTGTGTGTGTGTGTGTGCAAAGAAAGTAATTGAGTTTTTTATTTATTACCCTGAAAAATTTTTATTACTTAAATGTTATTTTTAGTGGATAAGCTTATTTGAGTAGATAACTTCATTTTTTTAATTTATTGTCTATTGTGTGAGTGTGTGTGTGTGAGTGTGTTCAATTAAATTAGATATCATGACATTTAATATTTATAAGGTTGACTCAGAGTTTCGTAATATTTTAGTCACTCATCGGTGTTCTTGTTAAGAATGATTGCATTAATCACAGAAAATTGATTTAATATTTATGATATTTTCCATAATATTTCATATTTTGAATTATTAAATAATAGAATAATTGATAAATTGATAAATCACACACACACACACACACACACACACACACACACACACACACACACACACACACATATATATATATAATCGTATCAGGTTTCTGTTTTATTTAGCAAGCGCAGTTTACATTCATGTTGGCTCGGCATCAGAATATTGTTAACCGAATATGTGTGTGTTTGTGTGTGTGCGTATAATTTCATGCTCTCGATGTATGTCCGTTTGTTCCCGCCTTCTGCATGGGAGCCGGATCTTTTGTGCGTCATTGAATAAGCGATATTATATTTTGATAGATTAATGTAAGTTTGAATGTATGTATCATACAAAAAAAAAAAAAAGATTCAGTATGTAATTTCTTTTATTTTTTTTTTAATTTTAGCTGAAGGAAAATCAATACTTCATGAAGAATTTTCAAAACTGAGCCTGACAAACATCATTAGACGTTAAAACATTAAAAAAAATAAAATAAAATAAAACAGAAAAACACAAGTCATCTACGATTTTTTTTTTTTTCTTAAGAATTTCTTACTGTTGGTTTTCTTGTTTAATCCCACGTTTTAGAGAAACCAATTGTAGAAGATTCACTGAAATACAGACTCCCGATTGGTTGATTACAAACACTAAGTATAATAACCATTTGAACAATGAATAAATGGTAAGAATTGGAAAATTCCAAGTGGCAAAATTAACCCGCAAAAACATATAAACGGGTTATCTAACTAACATTTATTTTTCTCATTGGATATTAACTGTCCAAGACCTATGATCACTGTCAACTCAATTCCTAATTACAACTGACAGTGATCCTCCTAACAGTTACCGATATGAAGTAAAGTAAGTACTGTTTTTTTTTTTTTTTCGTTTAAATACGCGTCTATTTAGTCACAATCTAGGCTCTGGGATGTGACAAAATAGGTAAGTATCTGTTAAATTTAGAAAGAATCTTCGACGACATGATATTTCTCCTAAACAGTTTGACCCAGTCAAATCCGATTTAATAATCATACAAACGGTTTGAGAATACCTTGGGGTAAATTTTAAATAAAATGGAATATCTTAGGAGAAATTGCAGAACAGCAAGATGAGTTTAGCCTAAGGAAACGTGTATTGCTTATCACATAACACGCTCCCAAAGGAGGCTTGAATGATACCTTGCCGTTAGCTAAATGCGCGATTAAAAATTCGAAAAGATAATCATGTTTAATGAATTCATTTATTTCTCGATCAGGAAAACTTCTTAATTTTTCAGTTGCAACGTTTTATCTTGTGTTGAAAGGCAAAAGGAATGAGACAGAAATTTTGAATATTTATGAATGTGTAACAAATTCCTACTCTCTCCAACACCCTGCAACCTGTTTCTGGAGAGAATTATGCAGGAAACCCTCCTCCACGGTACAAAACGCTTCTATCATTATCGGTGGTAAAGCTGTCTGCGACCTGCGTTTCACGTAGGAGACTGACTTTGTGGCAGGTAGTAACAGTGAGCTCCAAGACCTGATGAACAAACTAAGAAAGAAAGAAAGAAAGAAAGAAAGAAAGAAAGTAAAAGAAGGAAAAGGCTGACTACAGACGTAAATAAAAAGGCTGAAAGAAAGAAAGAAAGAAAGAAAGAAAGAAAGAAAGAAAGAAAGAAAGAAAAAGTAAAAGACGGTAAAAGAAGGAAAAGGCTGACTATCGACGTAAATAGAAAGGCTTAAAGAAAGAAAGAAAGAAAGAAAGAAAGAAAGAAAAAAAAGAACCTAAAAGGAGGAAAAGGCTGACTAGCGACGTAAATAGAAAGGCTGAAAGAAAGAAAGAAAGAAAGAAAGAAAGGAAGAAAGAAAGAAAGAAAGTAAAAGAAGGTAAAAGAAGGAAAAGGCTGACTAGCGACGTAAATAGAAAAGCTGAAAGAAAGAAAGAAAGAAAGAAAGAAAGAAAGAAAAAGAAAGTAAAAGAAGGTAAAAGAAGGAAAAGGCTGACTCGAGACGTAAATAGAAAGGCTTAAAGAAAGAAAGAAAGAAAGAAAGAAAGAAAGAGCTGGAATGAATTGAAAAGGAAACGAAATATGCAATAAAAATAGAGAAAGCTAGAATAATAATAACGAAAAGAAGAAAGAAAGAAAGAAAGAAAGAAAGAAAGAAAGAAATAAATAAATAAATATCGGTTTGGTTTGGTTTGTTTTACAGCACGTCAACCTCAATGAGTTATTTCATACCGACAATTTATATTGCTGGTAATCTTTTTTTTTCTTCAAAAATGTATTACTGTTACTATTTTTCCCCTTCAAAATTCTATTACTGGTAATATTTTTTTTCAAAAATGTATTGCTGGTAATAATTTTTTTACAAAGTATTTCTGGTATTAAAAACCTTTTTTTTTTGTATAGTGTTTTCACCACAGTTTCGGGGCTAACTATTTGCCCATAGCTGGGACCCTAACAGGTGCTACCACCCCCGGTCAGGGTGGATCTGGGAACACCAGCAATTAAGAGGTGTTTCCACGCTCCTCAGAACCCCCTGATCAGAGGCCTTGCTGTTGGACAAAGTTTATCGTCTTACCCAGGACGTGGATGTAGTTTATCGTCTTACCCTGGACGGGGATATAGTTTAACCAGGATGGGAAAGAAAGAAAGAAAGAAAGAAAGAAAGAAAGAAAGAACTGGCGCATATGGAATGGAACACAACACAGAAATATTCAAAATAATGGTGAATAGTACCAGTAGCAGAAGTGCCGGCGTCACCATGGACTGCGAACACCCGGAGAAAGTACCCAGCTTCAATTACTTGAGAGCCTTCCTGTCAAAAGATGGCAACCTGCAATGCAGAAATCGGCACACGGATGGTCACTGTCACATCAGTGATAGCCAGACTGGAAAAAGGTATGGAAGAGCAACGTCAAGGTCTATATCAAGTTTAAGATCTACAAATCGCTGGTCGTAATCATCCTCCTTTGCGGGTATGAGACTTAGACACTCCAGGTTGAGATATTCAGAGAACAAATGCTTGAGAAAGCTCCTCCGCATCTCCTAGTCGGAGCAAAACAATGTCTATGTTCGGAGAAAGGTCAAAAGTCTCGGAGGCCGACAGGAATCTTTCCTCGCCACTAATAAGTACTGAAATTGTCACAGTATGGCACGACCATCATGCAAGGCACCACTGAAGGCGGACACAATCGAGGCCATCCTCCTCTACCCATGTGAGATCTGGATACTCCTGGTTGAGGCGAAAAAAACGGGTTCAGACATTTGAGAAAAATTGCTTGAAAAAGCACCTCCGCATCTCTTGGGAGCACAAACACCATGACTATTATACGGACTAATGTCAAAAGTCTCGTGTGCCGAAAGGAATTGCTCCACGGCGGTATTAACCGTCGGAAGATGATATGGTTTGGTCACGTCGCACGGCATAACAGCCTCTGCAAGACCATTATGCAACAAACTGTTAAAGGCGGACGCAAGCGGGGAGGACAGCGTAAGAGACGGTCAGACAACATAAAAGAGTGGACGGACATGCCAACACCAGATCTGCCAAGAGCTTACGCCAACAGATCATCCTGGAGGAGGTCGTCTTTTTCTACTACACTTAAGTCTTGCCGACGATGGAAGCAGTCGAATGGCTGATGATTATAATTAATAAATATCAATATATGAGATTATTCCTATATTAAGCGTTTTGGCTTTCGAAAGGTCTTCTTCATACTAAATGCTTTCTTAAAATTAAGATTAAGAAGCAGAAAGTTATCAGTAGAAATAAAGAAAATAGTATTGAACTGTCCTCATCAGTCCTTCAACCATCTTTATTCCCTTGGTATTCCATCGGTGAGAAGTAACTTCCACTCTAGCAGCGTCTTCCCGCAAATTACTGCCCTGTGGAACCGTCTCCCAACATGATGGTTCTACCGATTACTACAATCTTAACCCGTTCGAGGCCAGGATTAACCGTTGTCTTCCCCACATATGCGCATTAACTGTGCCTCTTACTCTGTAACACTTTACCTTGAGTGTTTCCCGGCCCTTGGACAGGGTGAAAATCACTGTAAAAAAAAAAGGCAGTGAATGCTGGACAATCTCTTCACAGATAAAGAAGAGACTTGAAAGCAACAAAAAATGTGCTTCTGCAGAAAGATGCTGAAAATTCTATGGACCAAACATGTGAGCAACGACGAATGGTAACAAAAATGGCGCTCATATTTAACATCAGGAAGAGACAGTTGAAATTTCTGGGGCACATTATGAGGAAAGAGGACTTGCAAAATTTGATACACACAGGACAGATTGATGGCAAGTGTGACAGAGGAAAAAATGCCTAACCTCTCTAGCGTGTAAATGGATGGCGGAGCAAGGTTTAGGAAAGATAACAAAAATAAAAAACACATTAAGAGCTACAAAGGATGGAGAGGCATAATCGCCAACGTCCTGAATGGACATAGCACATATAAGAAGATATATGCCACGCGAAGGAAAAAAAATGCAGTAACCAGGATCGTCGCCATAGCTGTTTAAGCATGAAGCAAATTTCAAATCACTGATTTCATGTCTTCAGCTAATTTGTAAATATCTCTTATCGAGCAACTCGATTCTTCGTTGTCCTCAGGAAAGTGATCCAGATTCTCCATTCTCTCCAAGTATTTTTTTACGGAAAATCTCATTGATAATGGCGTTTTTCAATGTGTATACTATGATTTTTATCTATTTTCTTAATCATTTTAGCCAAAGCAAGGCGATACAGCCACTATATACCGTAAAACAAAATAAATCAATCCAAACTAAACCCAGATTCACTCTGACACGAGGTGGTAGCATATCTGAGGATCTCAGTTATAGGCAAATAGTTAACCTGCAAACAAAAAGAAATAACTATGAAAGTATAACAATACATTTGTATGGTAGATTTACCAACTATAGCTATTTATAATAAAATAACCAACAATACATTTTATCTGTAGTTAAAGGCATACAATGGCGGTCAAAATATATTTATTTGAGGTCATCAAATTGTGTTCAAACTATTTAGATTTCGGCAGTAAATATTCCATATTGGTTGATATGCCGCTAAACGAAAACCAATCAATAAACCTCCAAAATGCAACAAACTTCGATTATAATTCAAGCTGTAAGTGGAACGCTAAACTTGCTGGGATCTTGAACTTTAAATGCTAATTTTAAATTTCTGCCGTCTCGATAAATAATCGAACTGAGCTCTTTTAACTTCGTACCGCTTTTTTTTTTCTTTTTTTATATCGATCTTGTTTTTAAATATCCCATATTTATTAGCAGCAGTTTCTTTTCGGTTTTTTTTAAAAGACAATATGCCGTATGATTTTGAACGTCCTCAAATTTTTGAAAATGTTTATAATTTTTTTTTTTTATCAGCAATATTTGTTTTTGACATAAAAGACATTTATTTGGTGGCGCCATGTTTGGTCTTAGCCAAAGAGAGTGCCACCAAATCAAATGTGCGCAGTGCTCACTGAATCAGATTTTAATAGTGGAGGGGGCGCTAAATCAGATAAAACTTTTATAAATTCTTGATTCTATATAATTTTATCTGATTCTCTCAGTGAATGGATATTTTTATGCATATTTTCCTACTGTAAAACACTTTTTTGTTTTTTATTATAAAATTTTTTTCCCTTTTTGCATGTACTTATTTCTCGGAAGGAAACATTGATTCTTCCATGTATAAGACCCATAGAAAAGTTTTTGAAGCTACAGTTTCGAAAAAAAGTAGTTAGAAGGTGATATTTCAGGTTTTATTTTGAAAAAAAAAATAATAGTAACCACTTAGCATTAGAGGAATCGTCTGGTTAGAAATCGTAGTTTATAGTTTAAAAAAGGTAATCGGACCTAGCTAATCAGACGCTACCTCTGTGGCTGAATAGTATAGCACGTCAGACTATATGACGGTTCCGTGTAAGATACACGTTTGGAGGACACACATTTTCTAAGAAATTTCTCAGACATTTAGGACGGTTAATAGTGTTTATTATAAGCATAGAATTTACATAAATTTTTGTACCTATAAAAATAACGTATAAACAGAAAATATAATTGTCTTATTTGCCAGAAATCCCACTTTTATACAAGTTTCATTAAAAACGACTGATAAGTTACTGTGATCAAGGTTTTTACATAATTTTCCTTGTGATCTTGGGTTTTTCACCTCAATCCATCAAACCTTAACCGAAGTACCTTGTCACTCGCTCTTAATAATATATATATATATATATATATATATATATATATATATATATATATATATATATATGAAGAAAACAAACGAGAACAATAAAGAAAAGAAATTAATATTGAGAAGACAGAAGATAACGATTGACATTGCAATTAAATTTTTGAAGATTGAACTTGCAAGAAGCCGGAAAGGAGTTCCACAAATGAGAGGTGCGAGAAAAGAAACTGTTAGCATAGAATTACGTTTATATCAAGCTATTTTGATTCTAAATAAAAAAAAAAAAATAAAAATTAATTTCAATCTAGTGCTGCGTTTAAATTCATAAAGTTTAGGTACCACCGAGGAAAGTTCATCAGAATAATTATCATGAAAATATTTATAGAAAAGTCACAGAGAAGCTACGTCACGCCAGTGGGGGGAATTGACTGAAGCCGAGATGTCAGATCAGGACTAATAACATTGCAGATTCTTCTTTGGATTTTATCAAGGATACATTAATATATATCACGAGCCCCAGACCAGACGTTGTGATAATATTCAAAGCGTAGTTGAATGATAGACTTATAATTATATAAGCTAGATTCACGGTACAGAGAACCAGCTTTCCTGTCAGAAGACCTAGGAATTGAATCAATATAATCTTTCCAGTTCATGTTAGAGGAAAAAGTTAGCTCGAGAATGTGCATTGAGTTACTTCTCCTGAAGGTTAGCATCAGCCATAGTTAAGAAGGCGGAAAGGTTTCTCCCAGACGATTCGTTTTGGAAGAGTTAAAATTAAAGTTAAAATTAAGAAGCCTTTCCTTGCCCCAGTTAGTAACAGAATATAGGTAATTTTTTGATCAGCTGACAATTTTACCCCAGCGATCTAATTAGACTTACAGTTATGACAGGAGTAAATAGCTGTCTCCTCATTATAGATTCCGAGTTGATAACAGATGACACCAGGAAAGTTGTTAATAAAAATTAAGAACAACACATGTCTGCGGATAGAGACCTTGGGGACGACTGCGTTAATGCAAAAAGATCTAAAAGTGTGGCCATTCAAGACAACTTTCATTTCGCGATTTGATGAGAAAGACTGAATTAGATAAAAATGTCACCAGAAATCCCATAACATTTCAACTTGTTAAGAATACCAATATTCTAAACCGTGTCAAATGCCTATGAAATATTCAAAAGAACAACCGAAGCTTCACCATTCTTATCTAAAGCTTGATAGACACTTTTAGCAATAAGCGTTAACATCAGCAGTGGATATAGACAAGCCAAAGTCATATTGCTTGTCTGAAAATAGGACCCTGCGAGGTAAGATGCTTAACCAAGTTAGAGTTAATTAGAACATCTAGCACATTGCCAAGAAGAGATAAAAAGAAAAAAAAAAAAAAAAAAAGAAAAGAAAAAAAGGCCAATAGTTGGAATAAGCCGAGATTGTAAAGACAGGAACTACAGAAGAGAATTTCCAACAAGCTGGAAAGCAAG